GGTCCCCTCGCGGACGCTTCCTTCCCGCACGCTCCCCTCCCGTGGCTGCTGGTAGGGGTCATACTGGTCGTACTGGTCGTACTGATCGTGCTGTGCATACTCGATGGCCTGTGGTGCGGGTTGTGCCTCGAAGGCCATTGCGTTGGCGATAGCTGCCTGTTTCTGGGCCTGGGCGTCCTTTATCTGCTTCACAATCTTCCACCCGCCGAACATGACTACCGTGAGGCCGATACTTGCACCGGCGGCAATGAGAAATTGAGGCGATGCCAAAAGCGCAAAAACGGCCGGCGAGCCTCCCTTGATCACAGATAAGAAGGCAGGCGACATTTGTTTCAAGAGCGTGGACAATTCCGCTAGCGTCAAGGCAACAGCGGCGGCGGCATCGGGATTTCCTTGCAGATGAGCGATGGTAGCGGTCGCGGAGTGGTGTGCGCATTTGGCTTCGTCGAGGAGTCCCTCGACCCTGGAGATGAGTGTCTTAGCCTCCTTCTCCTTGGTCAGGGGATCCAGATCAGTGCGATCCTTCAGATCGGGAGGAATGTTGCCGTATGCGAGGTCCATATCGATTTCCTTCTCTTTGCGACCCTTGGGTATAACAGGCGCGGACATGGTACGGGGAACCATGGATCCACGGATTGTTGCCGAGTCTGCGAGACTGTCGCTGCAAGACGGGGCGGTGGTGTAATGCGGCAAGGTCGGGCGGCTCAAAGCCACATCGCGGGGAGCCGTTTCGGCATAAGGAGCACGGTATGCAGAGGGAGGCGCTCTTGATGGCGTGACGCTGGAGACTTCGGAATGTGTCTTGAGGTTGTTCTCGGTCAGAGCAGGTCTCGAATGTGGATAGTACTCGACATCGCGGTGGCTTGACTGGGAGCGTCTCGATCGATGACTTCTCCTGGAGCTGGCGACAGAGCGGCCATCGTCGTGCGAGTAGCGGCGATCAAAGGCTTCGGGAGGGAGATCGCGAGAAGTATCAAAGGTCTGGGCGCGCTTCAGAACCTCCCGGTCGGCCTTGATGGCCGCCTTTTTCTCCTGGTAGGAAGCCTTGGCTTCTTTGAAGATACCGGCCAGGTGTTTTCCCTGCAGAAGCGAAGATGATACGTCAGCTATTGGGCTTCATCGCTCGGCTGAGAGTTGTAGTGCGTATGCATTGTTTGCATGTCGAATGTTGTTGCGCACAGTTCTGACGGCCGAATTCAAGGGCTGGATCGAGTGGGCATGGAGTCTGATGAGGGGCGGTGGGGGGGAATGCAACGGGTGTGAGCCAGAGAAAGAGACTTACGGTACTTATAATCTTGCCCGAATTGTTGATGATAGTGACTGTCTGCGTGAGGGCCATGATGATATATCTCAGTTCACCTGCTCGGCGTCTTTCACCGAGCAAGTGATGTGTATGTGTGAGAGAGTGTGCGAGTGCGTCAAGGCAGAGGAAGAGTGTGTGAGAGACACACACACAGGCGGTGACCCAGTATGGTGGTGTTGGTGCGGGCGGTACTAGTCGATTTTGAAGCTTTCCCTTCTTTTAAGTGACGACAGGCTCCAGGGTGCTACGAGACGGGTTTGGCTTGGCCAAGAAGGTTCCGTCAGGGCTTTGGGAGGAAGAGGGAGGCTGGTCTCAGAGGGAGCCCAGTCCACCGCCAAAATTGAACCCGTCTTGTTCGTTGTCGCGGGGAGCCACTTGAAGGGCACTCGGGGCACTTCTGGGCGCTTTTGGGGGCAGGGTCCCTCGCTGTTGACGATGCGGTGAAGGAAAGGAGGCCCCTAACAATACTCCACCGTCACAGTTCCAAACGGAAGCGAGTACCGACTTGGGTGACAAGGGGTGGAGGACACCGAGGACGGGTTTGCAAATCGGCCCCCACAAAGTCACAGAAACGGGTCAAGACTCAAGACCCCCCAGAGATGCTGTGGCACTCGTGGCAGTGGCACTGAGAAGATCGCGGTCCGTGGGAGGTTTAGCCGTTGATGTTAAAGTGGACGACGAACAACGGCTGGCAGCCGGACAAAAGCGATGTGGGGATACAGAGGCTGGGAAACGTGCAGGTCCCTTTCTTGCCTGGTATCTGTAGAGGGGACGTCGATGGAGATGTTCTGTCGTTTTCTGTCAACGGTATGGGAGATTCCGATATGACGGTGTGAGATGCAGGTGAGCGTTTGGTATGTGTTTGTACGGATATCCCGGTCTCTCTCTCTTTCTTTCTCTCACTTGCGATGCGTAGTGAGATGGATTGCGAGGCCACGATATGTTGGCTGATATGAGAGGAAAAGAGCGGGGAGGGAGGGAGGTCGCAAGAGAAATCGAGAAACGGGGGACGATGCGGCATGAGAGGGGCTCTTCGACATGAAATACAACGGCGGACAGCATCGGCTCACAATTACACGCCATGACTGGTTTCCAATCTTTGGGAAAACATTGGAGGTGAGCCAGTGAGAAGGTAGAAGCCAAATGCCCAAGCCGAATTAATGAGTGAAAGCCCAGTGATGGGAGCGCAAGTCTGCCCCTTTCGCGCCTATGTCTACGGATAGAATACCCTGCTTCTCATCACGGTCGCATTCGCAGTCCCAGTCGGTCACGGTGACAAGTCCACGTCTTCTTTTTTTGTCACACTCCCTGAAAACCGAGAAGGAAAAGAACCACCCCCTCCCCTGTCTTCATAGGGGCGACAAGGCCAGCCCAGGCCGCTCAGGGTGAGGCGACATCCCGGCGATTGGCAGCGGAAGAAGCTCTGAGCGCCTTTTTTGTGCATTTGGGCCTCGTTGCAGGTTGCAACTTGCAGCTGGCCATTCCAAAGGCGACAAGACGGATGGAATGGGGATGGAACAGGCCAAACGGAAAGGGTGATTCGTGACTTTGGGAGCTGAGAGCCTGAGACTAGACGGGGCCGGTCGGATGAGGGGCCACCTAAGTCACTGAACGCTCCCAGGCCTCCCAGTCTGATCCTCGATCTGTCTACTCCGTACATTCAAATAGGTAGCGTGAAGTTTTTAACCTCTCACACTAAGAACGCGTGGGAGGGGGAGCGGGAAGAAAAAACTGTCAGCTCGGCCAGGCCCACCTCTCTCCCTCGTCTCGTCTCTCACCAGTTATCCGTGAGCTGAGCTCTCACCTCGCGTCTCTCACTCAGACTCAGTCACTCTCACAGTCTCACCTCAACCACAGGCCTTGTCCCTGCCCATCTTCTCTCCGGCTTCTTTCCGCCTTTCCGATCCTTCATCCCCTGGGGCCCAGGGGCGGATAACGTGGCTCCCTTTCTCTCCGCCTTTCCAGCTCCCTTCCTTCTTTCCAGCCCTCCTCACCGCATCGCAGCCAACAACCGGTCAAGGACCGTACAAGCTTGAAGTGAACTGTGAGGGCCGCTGCTCTTACTCAAAATCGCAATGCTCATTATTGATCCCCGGTCAATCCTAACCTCCGATGCTGCCTCTCTTCAGTCACGCGATTACAATGTTTTAATGTTCCTCTTCTTGTTCCCGAGTCACGCCAGTCCTGCTTTTGATGTCTGTCCTTGCCACGATGCTGCTGCTTCAGCTTGCTGTTGCATGACGCACGCACGATGAGGTTGTACAGCTTCACTTTCAAATGGCCCCAGTCTTCCCATTTGATGTTCCTGTATTGCTACCCAGCACCGACACAACGTTCCTGACGTCGTTCGTCCAACACCGACAGCTTGGCCGAGAGCCGTTAGCCGCTATCCGTCGTCATGGTGGATTGACATGAACATAAAAATGTGACTTTCTGACAGAGCACTCCGTACTATCTGCCTTGCGTATGAGGGTCTGGACGGGCGGGTGATTGCAGGGCTCCAGATCGGTCAAGTCTCCTCACTATGAGTGAGCTCACATTGATACATCGGTGACTCTGTACGTTTTGCCCCAAACAGCAAAAGAACGTCGTCTTTTCGGGTTGCCGCTTCCGACGGGGCCCTCAACTTACTCGCACTCGGGCAATGCAATTTTACAGAATCCGTGCCACTGTACTCAAGTATTCATCTGTCTAACAATCACCTACCACCGTCCGAGGCCAATGTGCCCTCATCTGCGGCTCTTCCCATTGGGTTCTACTTGCCCCTGTCAATCCTTACTCTCGTCAACACCATCAAGTGCAGCCGCCGATCCTGCCACACACTTCTCGGGCTCTTCTACCACCCCCATTGGGCTGCCATGCACCTCTTGACATTCGTGCGCTCCAAGCTTCAAAACAGTACTTCCACCCGTGGTCTCGGTCATGGCAGATCGCCTTCCCGCCGCCCAGTGCTCCCGTCAATCTGGCTGCTCAGAAAGCGACACGACAGTAGGTGGCGACTGTCACTCCGGGCTCTAGCGCACTGTTGAACTCAAACCGCTCCTTGGCTTTGACCCAGGGTCCCGCCTTGAAGCAATCCGTATGACTGAGTTACTTGGCAATTTTCTAGACTATCGTCGGCTGTCTCGCTTATCGCTTTATTTGGACCCCATACATAGCTCACCCCTCTAAGCGATGGATAGACACTTTTGTCCCTTTGCACTTGTTCGTCGCGCTTTTAGACCATGGTATCCTTAGTGAGACCCATCACCTCATGCTATCAGTCGAGGTCGCCTGGCTTATGTCAAAATCAAGCCATACCCAGCCTCTTTGCTTTACGGCGTTGGTTCGGTGTACGGATACTGTGGAGACGGAAGCTTCCCGCACTGCCCTAGGAGTGATATTATCGAGGTTCACCTAGATTCTCACCATGAAAGATAATTTTGAGGCTGCGACGACAATTATTCGCAAATCAGGTGCTACAGATTGAAGAATTGGTGTGACATCTGATTAGGCTTCTAGACCCGGAATTTGAGCTTATCTCCGCAGGATCTTTGTCGGGTCAGTCTCCAAGCTACTTGCTGACAAAAGAACTGCTTGAATTTATTGGAGTCATTCCGTCAAGGACATAACTGTCTGAAACCCATAGTTGACTGGATCAGCCCGTGTCTATAGAGCTCCAAGCGAGAACGGTACTCATCAGGTGTGTTGACCAAACATGAGCGGCTCTGAATTTCTTGACACAATCTTTCCGACGAACAGCCTATCAGCTGGCGTGTTCTTCTGTGGAATATGTAGCAAGCCCTTCAGCCAAGGTCTGTCTTCAGCTACTGCGTCTGCCTCTTATTTCAACGTGAGAACTAACTCAACATCCCCAAATTAGAGACTGCACTGAAGCGACATGTGTCTTACTGTCGACGAACAAAAGACCGACTCCGAAGCCGACCGAAGCCTTGTCGAGAATGCAGCGCAGCCAAACATAAGTGTAGCTTACAAGCCCGCTGTACGCGTTGCACAAAGAAAGGATTAGACTGCATCTACGCAGAAAACAGAAGTCAAGGGCCGACAGCCAGCACAGAGGCCCTTAGCGCACAAGTTTGGGCGCCGAGTCTTCTGGGCTTGGATCCAGCTAATCCTGAGTCTACTTTCATATCAGAGGCTTCGACTTTTGATCATCAAGTACAATGGGATGCATTCTCGCAAATAGTTGAGCTGCCGGATGAAGTCGCTTTTGGCCACTTCCCTCTGGCGGAACCTGGACTTGGTCACATAACCGAGGACCTGATGGTCGGTGACACCGATTTGTCTCCATCACCAGAACCATACCGGCAGATACTGCCACATTCGATGAATTTTGGCAGGCCCGTGATATCAAACACATCTGGGATCGTCTTTCCACTTCAATTCATCAAGGAACCAAAGCCGGCGGCGAATAGCAGTGCGAACATGATCAAACAGGCACTGCGCTCATATCCCGAAATGATGCTGCGAAGGTCAACATTCCCTCCCTTCATACACCAATATCAGGACAAGAGCCATCTTCCCGAGCCACTAGCAAACTGTATGGGCATTGCGATTCTGTTCGTATCTCGAAACCCAGACACTAGTTCGTTCTTATGGCAATCAATTCGAAAAGAGCAGGACAGAAACCTCAGCGAAGTTGGAATAGTGCACTCCACCCTGCCAGATGACTTGAGAATGCTGACTTCTCTCAACAGATGGTTAGATATAGCAGAAGAGATATCTTCGCATCAATACAAGCAGAGCTGATATATATCATCATGCGTGTCGTTGCCGGCGGTGGAAGCACTCTTGTAGACCGTGACTACAACACCCACATGCTGTTGGCTTATGAGGTATCTTCTGCTACCGAAGATTATGAGTTCTTGATGGAACGCGTCGCAGCTGACAATTTTTGACTAGGCGCTTTGGAAACAGTTCATGGCCTTGACTGATACACCATGCAGTGTAAAGTCTAAGAGTTCGAAATCATGGGAAGATTGGATCTTAGACGAGTCCCGAATAAGGTAAGTAGATTTCGGTTCCATTCTGAAATCAATGTTAAACGAACTGACAAGAAGACGCGCCAGAATTGCTTGCGTGTGGTTCTTGGTAGCGCAAGTAGCCACCGTTAAGGTAGGCATATCTTGCGGCGTTCTTGACACATGGAGAGAATTGACACTACCATGTCACAAAGTACAATGGGGTGCTACAACGCCAGAATCATGGGACGAAGAAACAAAAGCGTTGAGAAGTCTTCCCAAGCGGGGTCAGGATCTGGCATACTTTGGGGAGCTTCTGGAAAGTCATCAACATGCCAACGATGCAGTTCATGCAGAAACGCTTGATAGATGGAATTCAGGAGTCGATAACATCGGGTTGCTCCTGAATTTAGTGACGGCGATGATGTAAATTAAGAGACTAATACGTAAGATGAGCATCATAGATTGTACTACTGGTTTCGCGTGTAGTCTAGGACGCGCGGTCTGGTCGGTCTCTCATGCAATTAAAATCGAGAAGGCTAGAACAGGTCCAAGGCTGCCATTCGCGTTCCCTCTTTCCACTGAGGCGGCCTAAACCGATACACTGATGAGCCCGAATATCTTTTCTACCACGCGAGCGGACCCTCCCTGTTAGAGAACGTGCCAGTCGGTCCACCCGGACTTGCAATTGCCAACTCCACAATTCTTTCCGCACCAACAGAAGTCGGTGCTCCGGCGTCCATCCATCCAGTTAGTTTCGTTCTGACCAAGCCGGGGCAAACAGCATTCGAAGCCCCGCCAATATCCTTGAGAATACGGGCATAGTTGGCAGCCAAGATGTTGACAGCTGCCTTGCTGCCATCGTATGCTTTGTAGTCGACATTGTAGAAGGGCGTACTCTCGTCCAAAGTCGACTCCAGAGAACCCATCTGGGACGACACGAAGATAATGCGCGGGTACTCAGATTTGCGTAAGAGAGGAAGAGCTGCTTCACTTAGAACGGCTGTTCCGAAGACGTTGGTTTCATAGGTCTTTCTGAAAAGATCTCGAGTGGAGCTAAACGAATCGGGGTATGTATCGATCAAAATGCCTGCATTATTGATGAGGACATCAAGTTTTCCGTGAGTCTTCTGAATGGACTCGATGGCCTTGAAGATCGATTCGTCAGAGGTAATATCGAGCTGAATAGAAGAAACTGAGCAGTTCTCGGTTTTGAGAGATTCGGCGAGCCTAGAGCCATTCTCGAGATTGCGAGATCCTATGATAACATGAAAGCCCGGGATTCTGGCGAGCTGTTGAACGACAGCCTCACCAATGCCGGTGTTACCTCCAGTGACGAGAGCGATGGACATCTTGAAGAAGGAAGTTTCAAAGTCAGGTGAAGTAAAGTAGTCTGAGTGATGTTTCGTAATAGTGATAAGAAAATGCGTGTGCTGGATATGACTTGCTCCAAACTTCAAGATGTAATAAGCCGGCAAGAAAATATCTCACTTTATATGATCTCCAGTAGTGTCTTGTATTGAATAGTCACAGATTAGAAAGCCGCTTATTGACCGAGAGTGGCTCGAAGAGAATCGCATTCTCATTCCGTGCAAAGAGCGTGTAATTGGGCCAATTTCGCCGCCCGCTGAACATGGGCGGAACGGCCAAATTGGGCGGGGAGAGGTGAGTCCCGGCCAATTTCGCCGGTGTATTGAGTCTTAGTAGGGTACCTAGTCAGGTAAGGCCTACCCTGCGTGACAGACCAAGGCCAGATTTGGAGAAGGCAGTAAAACATCATTGAATTCAGAAGGATGTACGCCACTGAAAATCTAGCCTAAGAAAATGAAGTGTTACGGTGGCGAGCAGCCATATGATATGTTGAGAGCAGGATCGAGAAGTGCAAAACTCGTTGTCAACTGGGTAGGTAGGTACCCAAGGTGGGCACCACGTACCAATGCGTTCGATGAATTGTAGTGATCCATAGTTCCACTGACTATCTGCGGCGTCAACTCGTCTTGGTTGCTTACCAGCTAGTGAAGTTTAGGAGTCCTATGACATCAATGGGGGTACATCGACATGTATTACCTGAATCATTAAATCCGTTTGTCTCAAGCTTAGCGTAGTTAGGTTGTCAGGACATCGAGACCTGCAGCATCAGCAATGAGTTTTTCTACACATCCAAATACTACATGTCCATATCAAAGGGGAAAATTGCTGTGTTATTCCCACGAGGAAAGAGCGATGAAGCAATGTTTCTTTGAGCGTTATTGTTGTCCCGGCTTCCAGGCAAAGCTACGTGCGAAATAACAAAAGTAAGTAGTGCCCCGCCCTTTAAAAGGTGTTTGGGCAACCCTGTAGTCTTCGAACCCCGTAAATTACTCTCTTCTGCCTGTCCACGTGCGAGATACCAACAGTTTGGCACGATGTCTATTCAACTGCGACAGTGAACTGGGCAAGAAACATTGACGTAGTAAAACTGGCATAGTTGGCAGGACAATATAGCCAGGGAACACGATTTAGCCTCGGGGGATTCTTTCAATGGCCGTGCCACAGACCGACCAGGTGACCTGAACGAATATCTGACTTTAGTCACTATCCACCTCAACTTGCATTTAACACACAGACAGAGAGCAGCTATAGCCGCCAACCCAATGGCGCAGTAGATAAGGCACACGAACAATGTCGTGTCGGTCAGTAAGTTCATTCTGGCTTCCTAGAATGCGACCGGCGCGTGAAATTTCCTACAATCACTGTGGTGGTGTGCACCTTGCATCTGTGTAAGTCTACATGTACTTACTAAGTACCCTGATAATTGGGTCTACGTCCTGAGCTTATCAAGTAACCTTCATAGAAAGATCTGAAATCCAGTACAGATTTTATCATGTGAAAACTGATCGAATTTCATGATGGACGGAAGCAATCAGGAACATTGTGTTTAGTCTTGTACAGTTACCTAGTTGGCTGCACGGTAAATCGGGCATCCGAGCAGAATTCACGTCGGAAGTAGTCCTAAAGTTCGCCAACAGAGCATGCTACTTAGCGTGACTAAGTAAAGTATTGAGACCTAGTGGCCATTGAGTATTTGATGGCATGCAAGAGAAACACGAGGTCTGACACCACGGCAGGCTGAGATTGACAAATGTTAGCATTGCCACAAATGGTGTGACAGGCACTGACATTTCGTTAATGGGATGAGACGTCCATGCAAGGGCGCGTTTTCAGGTTCGACAAGGGAAGTCAAAGAGGCGCATGTGTTCATAGCTTTAGCCCCAAGGGATGAAGAAATTTGTAAAGCACTTCAGATGAACGCTTCTCCATCTTAAAGAGTTTGCCGACTCACCTTGACTGCTGTCTGGGGCCAGGGACGGACCCTTCGCCCACACCAAGACTGTCGTCGGAATTTTGATACCTTGCACGGCCACTGATTTAATAAGAATGCGGGACACTCTCCGGTCAAACGATTCTTGAGACGTTTGGAAGGTACGCCTCGAGTCTTTCAGGGTGAGGACAGCACATGTTGACACCGAAGACTGCCTCGGCTTTGAAGCAGGTAGAAAATTGGGTTTTGCTCTTCAGCTGGTGAATGAGATGACCTGCAGGAGGAAATCTGAAGCCATGGCTCTTCGTCTATAAAATTCGGGAAGCACCCCTAATGCGACCTTTTCGTGTTCGCAAACCGTCACATAAAGCTACCAGCCTCTTCCAGAACTCAAAGGGGACTATACACATTCTTTCTGCAAATCCATATCGAGTACAACTCCATCACTAGTTCACCATGCGTGCGCTTGCTGTTGTAACGTCTGCTCTGTTGGCCACATATGTCTCAGCACAGCAAGGGGCAGTCTGCTTCGATGACTTGGACTGTTTGCTCTCAGTAAGAAACCTCCAAGGGACCAATCAAGATCAGTATGTTGACTGACTTCATGGAGGGAGGACAAAATGCCAAATGCGTGAGGGCACAGGCTGGCGGTATCACAGGGTGAGTACTTTAGGATTACTGTCTGTCCACGTCCCACGACAAAACAAGACGTCAAGGCATGCACTACATTTGTATTAGGACATTAAACTTACCTGGCTCTAGAAATTGCGCTGGTGGTAAGGCTGCCGGAGCCGCTGGCGCCGCAGCGGGAGCGGGAGCGGGAGCTGCCCAGCCTGCTGGCCAGCAAGCCGCTGCCGCCGACCCCATCGGCTCTTTGTTGGGAGGACTTACGGGTAAGAAAGCTACAGGGAAGACTACTGGCGGTGCTGTAGCACCGGCAAAGGCGAAAACTGCCGGGAAAGCAAAAGCTCCAGCATTAGGGGCTCGGCAAGCTGCTGCTCCCGCAGCATCTGCGGCTCCCGCCGCCGACCCTATTGGAGCCGTGCTCGGAACGGCAGCAGGCCTGCTGAAAGGAAAGGGAGGTCAACCGGCTGGCGCTGCTGCCCCAGCTGGGTCTCAAGCCGCTGACCCGATCGGGCAAGTCTTGGGAACCGCCGCCGGAGTTCTCAAGGGTAAAGGAGCCCCTGCAGCCGGAGCCGCCGCTCCCGCAGGACAACAGGCAAACCCCCTTAACGCCGTAATTGGAGCTGCAGCAGGAGTATTAAAAGGAAAAGGAGGCGCTCAGCCAGCTGCTGCAGCTCCTCCGGCAGCCGCAGCTCCCGCAGCACCCGCTCCATCGAAACCGGCAGCTGCGGCTCCGGCCCCGCCAGCAGCTTCTAAGCCCGCTGGTTCCACTCCCGCCGCTCCTCCAGCTGCCGCTCCGCCTGCCGGAGGAAAGCCGAACTCTGCACCCGCCCCACCCGCTGCAGCTCCGGCAGCTCCAGCCGCTGGGAAGCCCGCCCCTCCGCCCGCCGCAGCTCCCGCGGCCCCAGCTACAAGCAAACCCGCTCCTCCACCTGCTGCAGCCCCCCCAAAGACTCCAGCTGAGGGAAAACCGGCCAAGCCTCCTGCTGTTGCTCCTCCGCCAGCCCCCGCCGGTGGAAAGCCAGTTCCAGCTGCTCCCGCCGCGCCGGCAGCACCTGCAGGCAAGCTTTTTCGCCGTGTCGAGTTCTAGAGTCAGCGGCAACTTTGTTTGGAATTTGGAGCGCGTCTTTCTTTCTTTTACCCCACTGTTTGACTTATACACACTGGTGTGAGAAAGCAAATAGCGCGGGAACTGCCAGCAAAACTAGGTAGACTACAATACATGGCCTGTAATGGGCATTGAAGTTGGCAAAAAGAGGCCACGTACTTGCGGTATCTCGAACATTTTGCGCAAAGTCAGGGCCCCTCAAAATGTATTATCAAGTCATCTCACAATCATTATCTAAGGCCACTTGTATTGCACGGGGGCGAATCTCTTTCTCTTTCAAATTGTGATATCAAGCGACGTCTTAAGCGTAAGTCCACCACACAATTGAATTCTTTTGGTTCGGAATCTTGAGAAATCCTCATTCGATTTCGAAAACATCGCATTGAGCCCCTCCCTCCCCCTCCCTTGTAGCAAGCGAATCGTCACATGATATCGTCAGTTCCGAGTAGACTCAACTGAGGTGTGCAGCGTGTAACAATGCGTTCTCGTTTCCTCATTACGTAGTCTAAAGTTTGTACGGCATGAAGAGGAGTCTCCTTTTAGCCTGTCTAAGGATTTAACAAGTATTGTGTTTCATTCCTGAAAATCAGACGCAATCGGACGATAGACATCGCAACGACGATATAGCAAAGTCATCACAGTATTAAGCTAATCGTTCTCATTCAAGCAACCTTCTGCAGAACAAATAGATTATCTGCGTCATGGCCAAATCTGAAACATCTGTAATGACAGGCAGACTTGAGGATCTCATTGAGAAGCACGATAGACCGAGGAAATACTCAGACAGTAACCGCATATTTTTTCTTTTTTCCTTGGAGCCACCGTCAGTGGTCATGCCCTTTCCGTTACTTGAACCCACATATCCGAAATCACGAACAGTCCCATGCAATTCTTTGCCCGCCATGGACGCGCAGGATCATTCGACGCTAGTTCGAAATTTCGCAACAACTTGACAAAGTCAATACTGTAACTTCACAGCCGAAAGAACAACGACGTGCTCCAGAGTCTGCAACGCACCTCGAAAATAGTTTTAGAAAGTTCCATCTGAGCCACGGGCCTCCCGAGACACATGAACTTACCGTGACCAAAAATCAGGTCATTAGTTTGGATCATTGATGCGAGCTTGTCCGGATCTGTCTCAAACCATCTCTCTGGTCGGAATGCCTTAGAGTCGACGCCGTATGTTACTTGACTTCGATGCATGGCATACCCAGAATAGCCCACACAAACACCACCAGGTAAAATATAAGTTTCCCCTTTCACTTCAATAGCATCACCTCCAGGGGGAACATCTCGAGAAAAGATATTGAGAACCGGCGGTCGGATCCTCAGAGACTCTCGGATGACTGCTTGCAGGTACGGCAGCTTCTTCGCTTGACCAAGAGTTATAATTCCCTCGCCGAGCTTTGGGGCATTCCCAGCACGTACTGCCTCGTCAATCTCATGCTGTAGTTTGGCATAAACCCTGGGATTGGTCATGATTTGTAAGAGTGTCCCTCGTATGGCAGCTGCGGTCGTATCCGATCCGGCGATAATCTGCTCCAGTGCCTCAGTCTTCAGCTCATCGCCATTTAGCCCATGGCGTATGAATGATGCAAGCATGTCCGACCTTTCGTCCGTTGGCTTTTCAGTGCGTTCGTCAACATAGCGGAAGCATGCTGCGATCATTTTACCAAAACCGTTCTTGTCAGTAGGTGAAGGAGCTATGAATTTGCCAATGATAGGTGACTGAGCCATCCAGCTAATGCCCATAGCACAAGCCACACTCATAGCAGACAAGCCCTCCTCGGTAGACTTCAGGTAGTCATCCACATCACTATCAGTCCGCAGCATGCCGAACGCTTTCCCAAGCCCGACAGAACTGATTACATCGAGAGTAAAGTACTGTATCTTTTTGGCCAAATCCACTGGTGTGACTTTGCTATCAGTTGAAAGATATTTGGATCTCATGAGCCCGAGAAGCTCCTCAAGGCGTTGATCAATCGTAGGTTCGAGGTCTAGATTCTCTCTGCCGGAGTACTGGTTACCAAGGATCAGATTAGCCGTGCTGTTTGGCCAGAAAACTGTGACTACTCATGATATCATACCCCCGGCGCCATTTGCTTCCTTCTCTTTTCGTGTTTCTCATTGTCCGTTTGAGAGAATACGTTGTCACGCTGGTACTCAATTCGACAAGCGTGATAATACCAATCGGAGCGCTTGTATCCAGGATGTCTATTGACATGGGCCCAAACTTCAGGAGATGAGGTCACTAAAATTCCCGGAGCGATGCGGGCAATGAGACCTTTGAGAGAGTTAGCTTCCAGGAAGTGATGTGCATTATCAATGTTTATGCGATCGTCAGTCAATAGGTGAGCTGGAAGTCGTTGTGCTTACCATATCTTTCATTTATATCGGCGTACCACTCGTGGCAATTGGGGCTAATGATTGCCTTGCTGTGAGGCCAGTATGTGAGGCCACTCCACCAAGGACCGCCAAGATGTCGAAGTTTGACATAAAGCGCGGCCCTCCGGACGACGCACCAGCAAAGCAAGAAGGCAAGAGCTGGCGCGGCAGCTTTGCCAAGGAGAGTGCCGAAGATACCCATCGCGATTTCCAGAAGATTGTTGATGAGTTGGGCCAAATCTACAATGCAGTCAAAGTTATACTCATGACAAAAGTAAAGGATGTGTATCCCCGCACTTTGGGAAACAGAGGCAATATGTTGGATTGCCAAAAATGCTTTCCAACGCCCCAATCACACCCTGGACATATCCAAGCAACCCACCTCCAACGCCTTGCCCTCTTGCCATTCGATCGCTTGCATGCAGATGATGCATTAGTAAAACTAGAAATAGATTTATGACACGTCGTTGGAAACTTTCCCCCTTGCTTTTAAGAAATGCTGCCGGGAAACCGCGCGCTACTTGTTCAACCTGCCAACTCGTTCTTGAATAGTAAAGATAAAATTTTAATCTCCCGAGCAGCGGTAAGTTTGCACTATCTGCAATAAGCCAAAGAGGGCCGTATGTTGACTGTTGAGACACTAATGAAAGCTGCTGATAATGCTGATATTCAGAAAAGATTACATACATCTCTTATAAATTATGAATGGGAACTTGGGACTTGAAAGGAGTTCGAAAGGTAACATGTAAAGTGGGTAGAGATAGCCAAGGGCTGATTGCCCAGATGAGGGAGCTGGAGAATCTTACAAGCAGTCGAAGCTATTTAAGGGGGAAAAGAAAGAAAGAAATCAGTAATAAGATCTTCTAACATGGCTGATTTCGATTTGGTGTAATGAGCTTCTATATGAGAGACTAGCACTCGAATAACTCATAATGGAACTAAGTTGAAAGAAGGATGATGATTATTGATTGCTTGGTATGTGAGTAGGAATCATCCCCCAAAGTCCAATTGCTAATGTGTGGGCAATGGTGCGACTATGCCCAAGGCTTCCGCCGAAATTTAAGCTTTCTATGCAACTCTTCCGTCTTTACTGTTATTTCAGTAAAGTGTAAACTATTGTTATTTATTTCACCCACTATGTCCATGTGAATAAGATGTCGTAAGACGATCGTCATATATCAGCTAAGTGTAAAAACACTCTAAGTACTTAGGTGAACTAGAGGAACCAGGACATTTGCTGATATGAATAGTAAGTGAACGTAGATTTGAGTATATTAAACTAGCCAGGAAGAAGGAATGAAATCACACCCTAGATCGTTCTTTAATCCGTCATTATGAACTTTCGCCCAGCAAAGCTCAATGACGTCCCACAAGTACATATTGCGGACAGCGGATAGTTTGGGGTGTTCATGCCTTTGCAAAGGTATCGACGGAGTGGACAAAGTCCCATGAAGTTGCTCAATGGTTGGAGAAAGGGCAAGGGGGAGAGGGTTAACACGACTACTAGTGGTATCATAATGATTGTGACTCTGGAGCATAACTGCTATTACATATTGCGCGAACAGATGATTTTGCCACCGAGGCACGATACCCTACTGCCTGCCTTCTAATCTTCAAATGAGAAACATTGATGAATTGACCACTTGAGCAACAGTGCAAGAGCATCTTTCTACCTACGAGAACCCATTTCAAAGTTGACAGATGAAGTACCCACCATGGCAGATTTAGTTATCTCGCGAACAACTACGCGCAACCTTCTGAATCAGTCCTGACTGCGAGGTGCAGTGTCATATTTGAACAGCACCAGGTAGAGGCGATTCTCTCTCATATGACAGCTTTTCACCGTGGTCAATTTTTTGGCTTCCCGCGCAGTCTCAAGTCTTAGCTGTGTTGGGTACAAAAGCATTTGAGTAATCAGAAGATGGAACATTGGGAGAAAGGGAATTGATCTACCTCACGGTCCTCACCGAGGTGATGGATGATTAGAGCCGAGCCATAGCTCGATCACCAAATGGTGGACGTAATGGGCCATGAGAGATAAGACGGCGGTCGGAAAACAATTGCAGCGGGCGGAATTCAGCGGGACTTAGCGGGAGGAACAATCGGCAGATCGAGATACCCCCGGAGATGTGGGGACATGGGCGGTGCTCAACTCCCGGGATGTGGGCGGAGCAGCGCGGGGTTTTTCGAAGGATTTCCTCGCATCCGGGGTGGAACAGACGTCAAATTAAGGAAGGTAACATCCTCGTTGGTCGGCAACGCCCGATACTCATAAATATAAGCTTGAATCGGCCAATCCCCATCGTAAGAAAGAACAATGGTAGTCAACCGCCAAGGCTGCCAAGAGAGCCAAGAGCTGGCAGTGGGAACTGCAATGACCGCAATTGAGCCCAGCTTTACGCGTTGTCCGCCAATGATTTGTTCACGATTGGCGTAAGAGGCAACTCGATCAACGGCATCTGCTAGGTTCAATCACACCGTTGCACAAGATACGAACGGGACTCAGGACTTGGTGCCTTTCTTGGCTACAGTCACCGTCTTGGCATTGCCTGTTAGATGGCAAAATCCGCAATTCATCTTGGCAACTCGAGATATGCCGCCCAACCGGCTTATCACGCAAGGCCGTTTGGTCCTGTCGTCAATTTCAACGGTCTGCAACTGGACAAACTCAGCAGGTGGCTAACTTCTGAGCATGAATCAACATTCCAGTGATGGAGCCACATTCGAGACCACTAGCCAAAAGAGCGTTGAACAGTCCCCAGTTGACGTACGACGAGCCTGGCCATGATGTTGCTAGACTTTCGGTCTCTTCCATTTGAGGAAGGTTGAAGTCGAGATACTCAGGCGCTCGTGATATGAACCTTGGGAAGGTATGTGAACTCAACAGCAGACAGTAGAAGGCAAAGAACTTATATAAAGTGTCGAAAAATCAGCCATCAAGGTGTTCTTTCATCCTCATCCCACCCCAGCCAAGCCAACTCCAGTCAGGTGTCCGGTCTCTTTTTCAATATGCAGTTCAAGACTCTCTTCGTCTCCGCCCTTGCGGCCGCCTCCACTGCTCTTGCCCAGCGTTCCTGCGGCACCCCTTCCCCCACGGAAGAGCAGATCGAGGTTGCCCAGCGCCTTCAGCTCAAGGAGGACAACGCTCGCGTCGAGGGTAACGCTACTCGCCTTGCTCCCATAACGGTCAATGTCTACTGGCACGTCATTGCCACTTCCAACTCGGTCAGCGGTGGTTACCTTACCCAGGCCACCCTAAACGCTCAGTTGGATGTCCTCAACGAGGCTTACGCCCCTCACGATGTCTCTTTCGCCCAGGCCGGTGTCGACTGGACCATCAATAGCCAGTGGGCTTCCGACAGCGCCGAGCTCGCCATGAAGAGATCGCTCCGCAAGGGCACCTACGCCGATCTGAACGTCTACTTCCTCCCCGGTACCCCCTACCTCGGATATGCCTACTTCCCCCAGACTGTCACCACCGGTTCCTCTGCTTTCTACTATGACGGTGTTGTCATCCGCTCTACTTCTGTCCCCGGCGGCAGCCTGCCCCAGTACAACCTTGGCCACACTGCCACCCACGAGGTTGGCCACTGGCTTGGACGTAAGCTTTTCCAACTCTGGCAGATATTGAATGAAGCTGACTTCCCGATTAGTCTACCACACCTTCGAGGGATACCAGTGCGGCGGTAACGGTGACTACGTCTCTGATACCCCCTTCGAGGCTGAGGAGGCCTACAACTGCGAGATTGGCCGTGACACCTGCCCCACTCTGGCTGGCACCGACCCTGTCACCAACTACATGGACTACTCTGACGAGTAAGCTTCTATCTATACGATCGATGATGAACCTCCATGCTGACTACTACATAGTGACTGCTTCACCCACTTCACGGATGGCCAGGAGACTCGCATGCACAGCTACTGGGACACCTACCGCGCTTCTTACCAGTAAATGGTTAAGTCGGTAATGTCAAGCCACTGATGCAGCTAGCATCATTGTTGCGTCTCGAGTCGAAAACATCAGCTTGGCCAGATCAATCGATGTCAAGGGAAGACTCCGCCAACGTGATACCGGTCGTCGGATAAGAATCAACTGGGAGAAGAAGATGGGGTGCAATTCCAGTACATACTTTACTACTTAAAATCAAGTGTATATCCATTACGAACTCTGTCAGAAGCAAAGTTTGCCTTGCCAAGTGAACGCCCTGCCTAGGTGTGTTGCCTGTAAACACGTGCAAGTTCAGAAGGACGGTATTACCCACTTTGGAACGCCCAGTTCAGATTCCAATTGCCTTGTTCCACCCCGAGTTCTCTCATTGAGTTGAATATTTCATCAGCATACCCCCTCTGTTCCTGAGCCCGCTCCCTGTTACCCGCCTCACGAGACCAGTAGGCCATCATGCGCCGGATCTGTAAGGCCCTTGTTTGGCAATCCCGATCGCCGTTTCGCAGCTTCTCGGCGAGAGGAGTTAGACAACCATGCTAGAGGTCAATGTTTCCCTTCTCCTTGTCAATCCTCGCCAGTAGCTTGGAGGCAAGCACGAAACCATATGTCCCCCCCCCCCCTAAGCCCCCGTTGTGGAACAGGCCCCAGTTCCTCAGATCTCTGACAAAGGTCAGAAGCCAGCTGATATGTCAAGGTGATATTATGCCCATGATAGTACGCAACGTACATGTACTCAGTCAGAAAGAAAATTGTACGCTCATCAGAAGACCCAAACTCAGTTCCGGAGCGGGCCACGAGGGTCCCGTAATTCGGCAATACATTATCAGCAAGCGCTGCGGGCCAGTATCTCAAAAATCGAGCGACCATGATGAGAACCACTGGATGCGATCCGCCGGGTAGCTTTGGAAATGAGTCCGTGCAGAACTTAAAGACCCGTTCATTAGCTAGCTGCATTCTATCGAGCGAGAAGACGCGTAACGAGTTGAGACAGTCTACCATCATACTGGATCCTTTGCGAATGATGAAGAGTCCTGCTAAGCTGGAAATTACATGGCGGACCAGATGATCGTTTTGAGGTCTTAGACGTGTGGATGGAATGCCCACTTTCTTATTCTCGATACGGTATGAAATTCCTCGCAAGTATAGTATAATCCTCCATAGGTAGATCAACATCCAGGGATCCTCCTGTTGTGCAAGCTGGTCGATGCTTTTGAAAATGTTCAGAAGAGTTGTTTGGCACTTCTTCTGTGTGCCATTTCCCTGACTGATCAAAGTTGAAGCGCCATGGCATTGATCGGCAATCGCTTTCCATTCTGTCGAGTTGTCCTCATGACCCTGTGGGGGCGTCAAACCAGATGAGTTCACTTCCCATCCAGATGAAGTCTCTCCTGGACGGCTCTGATCGAAGAGGCCCATGAGATAGTTTCCTATCGAATAGAGCATGCAGGCCAAAGCTTTCAGCTCTGCAGTTGGCCAGTCCAGCACCAGATCATGCGTACGCCATGAGAATGCGGCCCCGATTGGTAATCTGCTAGTATCCGGGGCTTTGCCCCAGCACATCGTCGTCGCTTGACGAGTGGCGTGTCCAGACCGTCCATGCGACTTTGAGATTGACTCGATGATTCATGATTGAAAATATGCCATTCCTTGAGCTTTTTCTTGTACATGGAGTTTCTACGGTCACAAATAAAAATGAGTCAACAACTCTGAAAAGATGGAGGAGATTGATCGACGAAGCGTCGAAGCCGAACACCACATGCATACACCCCTCAACCATACTCAACGGCCAGTTTCCAAGAATATAAAGAGAAATGATGATCTCTTTTTTTGCATCCCACTCTGCAATGGTATACTTGGGTTGCTTGGTCACTTGAGGCTTACTCCTCGTGCGCGTGACAGCGGACATCGCCTGTTCGTCGTGTGCATTTAGCGACATGTTGAGCTACGTAGAAGTGAGCCGATGATTATGGGAGAAGGTGAATTTCAATGAAAGGCTTCTTGCCCGGAATTTTGTAGCCTCGCAGCAAGGATAGATGACGGAAGAAAGAGAGTTGAAGGCATCCCCCGATAGATGGCGGGAAGAGGGGAAGGCGGGCGTCGTAATCGTAAATAGGATGGCAGGCAAATATGTTGGCGTGGAAAGGCACCAATGTCATCGTGTCTGGCGCTGCATGCGTTTGACTGATCACTGTATCGAGGCCATGAGGAAATACCTCGTAGCTAGCTGCTATGGGATTGCGTGAAAAGCTCCAGGCTCCTCACAAATTGAAATATGACACACAGCTAAGAACTTAACTCCGCAATTAGTCCACCTTGCATTGAAATTCCTCACAGAGTGATTGGCTAACCTTGCATTAAAGTGCCTTGCAGGGTGATTGGCTTAGAAATTGGTTGTGTTTGTGAAAAGCCGCATTGTGGCACTTTCTTACGACCTAATGAGTGCTCGAAGCCGATCATCTGGGGATAGATAGCGTAGTACAATAGTAATTAGGTGACAGATGGCTCCACGCTGTGTTACCCGAGTCGAAAGTGCTCCTGAGCTTTGAAATAGTGTGTCTGAGGGAGGAACACATCTGGATACCTTAGCGTAGGAGGGACTATTCCAAAAGATGAGGAAGTATATGGGTATTAGTAGGCGCGATGTTCTCGAGAGGGAGAGCAGCCCTTTTCCTGGTCTGCAACGATTCTTCCATCAAACAACTTCCGAGATACTCTTTGATATTGATGGGCCGCCCAAGGTCTGGCAACTCCATTCTTATACAGTAAGAGCTGAGTGCATGTTCGGTCCATGGTCCAATCCTTTTCAGCAACAGCGAAGCTTGGCCATCATGTATTGGAATCGGTCTGAATCTGATGTGCTAGCTACTGCCACCGATCTGACGACTTCTTTCGATAACATTGGCGACGATTTCAACCGTGAAGTCAATGCTTTATTCGACTTCATCAAAGTCGACATGAAGAAGTTCAAGAAGTCCTCTGAGGGATTTAAACGGGCATTGGGTAGGCCCCAGGCAGCAAGAGACCGAACCTTTGTGGTCGTTTGTGGTCAACGCGATGCAACTTGGCTCAACAAGAAGTTGAAAAGCGAAGAGGCATCCTCTGAAATTCTGGAACAAGAGATTCTGGATTGGTGAGTCGACTCAAATCCCCTTTCAATAGCTCGTGTTCGTCGCGTCTCCTTCAACAGGATTTCTGACCCTCTGTCACCATGAAAGGAACTTCAAAGATGATTGTGGCCACCGACATTACACTTGAACATGAGCTCCGAGTTCTTGGAAAAATGGACGAGATACGAGAACTCGTGCTGGTCGTCAGCAGTCAGTTCGATGACGTATACTTCAAGATGCCACTCAATGTTAAGTTGCTAATGGTGCTGCGGGCCGAGACTTGCTTCAGTACAGGCGGCCAGCTTTGCATCAATGGAAGTTCGACATTCAGAGACACTAAGCTTGACGACTGGCAATCTAGATCACACAAGGGTAGGTTGTTCTTCGGCCCTGATGTTGGAATCCCTATCGATCCAAGAGGTGAACGTTGGACAAAGGCTAAAAGGACCTTCGAACGGGACTTCACCGATGACGAAAAGGAAAAGCTGCGAAGACAGTTCGAGAAGATGAGAAGTCAGCCTATGGAGGGTAACGGATGGCTGAAAGAGTGGAAAGGCATAATTGCTTCCGTTATGGGCGTACTTGCCGGTGGCTCGAAGCTGGTGGCCGCCATCACGGCTTCAACAGGTGGTGTCTTCGTCCATTACCAATATGGTATCAAGAGTCTCAAAGTTGGTGCTGCCTTTGCTGAAGGATCTATGATTGCAACAGCTGCCGGCTCAGCAATCTTAATTGGGGCTGGGGTCGCGGCCGCAGTCTATTTTATACCATGGGAAACCTTATTAGATTGGTTTGGAGGCATGTTTTCCTGGGCTCGAGACATACTTAGCACACTCTGGCCGTGGGTAAAGGACTGGCTTGCAAACTCTAAACCACCCCACGCACCACCGGGTGGACAATCAAGGGGTAGACGAAGATCGCGAGTCCCAAAACCGATGAGGTTTTGATAATGATAGTTTGGAAGATGGTTCTTGATTGCCCAGGTTGAGTATCGCGATATATCTTATTCATTATACCTATGTAGTTCTGGTCTCCCAATGTGATTTCTACTGGCTTTGGTAAAGACGCTTAATCCTGAGCTCATCGATCTTGGCGAAATAATGGATTTGAAGTCAATGGATAACTGTATTCGAATGTCGCGGATGGCTTGAGATTTAGTCTAGTATATATATTCAGTAGTTGATAGCTACTTCTTTGCAGGGGAACAAGATTATATACCAACGTAGTTATAGCGTATAGAGCTACTTTAGATATGTTCTAAAGGTTAGAGTTGAAAATACTACTAATCTCATGAGAGTACACATATGGATAGAGAAATAAGGGAAATGCAATACATAAAGCACCTTAGTTAGGAAGCTGTGGCCCAAGTAGTTGATATCATTCCTACCATTAGCAAGCTCGTTTATAACTTTGTGACATTAGCATTTTAGCGATAGGGGCATCACTAATTCGCCTGTTTCTGACCGTTGTTGCACATTGCAAATGTACTATGGAAAGTACCTAGTAATTGGAAAACTTAAGTGTGAACCTACTACTACGACTTGTCAACTGCCCTCTCCGATCATAATAATAGGGCTCGCGGCCCTGATTCTCTTTCTTGCCTCCCCTGGCTTCAAAGTATTGCACACTTCCTGTCCGGCCAAAATGCTTTCAAGGACCTTGTGCTGATCCACCATTCCGCCTTGGATCGCCACCCCCATCTGTGGTGGGGGCTCTAGACGCTGTTCGCAGTCTCGTGGAAGGAAGAAAAATGACGATGAGATCTCTAGCAGATTCGTCAATATCATAGTGTCGCTCCACTCGACTTCATTTCTTCACCATGCAAGCCCAGAAATCCTCGTTTCTAAGAAGCTCTCTCTGTTTTGTCACTCCCGACTTCTTTTTGTCTAGTACGTCCTACATAGTGGTCACGAGGACGTCGATTGTTTTGTTAGGTGATGATCACCGCATAGCTGGCGGAACAGACTCACAATAACCTTAGTAGAGCTTTGCATTCGCACGGTGGTGATGCGATGCAGATATAGAAATCGTGAAGACAAATACTGTTTTTGTAGGTAAGAGAGAGCCAAGCTCCCAGCGACCGCAAGACGATCTTGTCAGTTCTATACGTGTTGTCAAAGCCGGGAGTGTTGATGAGATGACTATTGTGAGTGGCGGAACAGACCTATTGGTAGACTTTCACATTTCGCGCACCTAAACCAGTGGTAAGACAATTTCAGACGCACTTGACTCAGGGGGACAATGGTAATCAGGTCCCAAAGCTGCTCGAACTCACAAGAATCCAGACTGTGCCCGACTTCCGGCTTGTACTTGTCATTGGTAAGGTGGAAGGTGAAAGTGCTTTTTTTAACCCTAGTTATACCAAGCATGACCAGAAGGATATCTGTTTTTCTCGGCTCATGATAATTTCGAAGACACGACAGAACAGCCTTGTTAGGAGGGCTCGATTGCGAAAGGTCATCGTCCTTTAGTCTCGGACTGGACACTTCCATAATTGTTCCAGCTATTTGATACCTTACCATAGTAGGCGAACGAGCCAAGAAAAATGGAACAAGAGTCAGTGGAGTAATGCGAGAGCATTGGAATTCTTAGGGCATGGTAAATAGTCTAAGCTCATTCTCGTAAGTTTGTCGAGAGGAGGCTATTATAGGCGGGCGGGGGAGCTTGAGATTGGGTGCGCCTTTCATCCAGAACTAAACCTCATTACGTCTCTCAGAGCCATGATAAAAGCTATCAAAATAACCAGAACATAAAGTTCAAACATATAGTTACCATCTACATTACAACAACTACTCAAAACATGTGCATTATGTTATCTCTTTCCTCGCCTCTAATGCTTTAAGCTGTTCCAACCGCATACATGTAGCAAGGTGCAGCCTAATACCAGAATAGTATCAGGCCACGCGCCCCCAGGCGCTGCGGTCAGGCAGCCTTGGAGATTGTCCTGAACCCAGATTAAAAAGCAGGGCTGCAATCAAGCTGCTTGTGAATACTGATCTGCAAAAGTATCTGATTACCTAATGACCGGACTAGGGTATACGGGCCCCCGTGCAAGCTACCTTAGGATAGTGATTGAGGGTATTAGGGATAGAACCGAAGTACCTCGGGTTGGGATATAGATATGGGTTTGTTTATCCTTAAACCCAAGGTCATAGCGGGCTCTCCAAGACATCTGTCTTAAGATGACTACATTCTTCAATGAGTAGATGTGTACGGTATAATTAAGAATACTCCTCCATCTATTGATAATCTAGCAATTTTGATTTGTGACTGGCAAGGTAAACCTCTTGTGGAGTGGCTTGTGAAGTACTTAAAAAGACCTTGTTTCCTTCCTCATAGTAAACAATACCCGCCAAGTCCGCCGAGGCATATCATATGATCGACAGCGTTCTCGTATCAAGTAGTTGTATATTTAGACCCTAATTGGTTTGCCAAAGTACCACAAAGTTGCCGGATTCATAAGTAATCCCCAGCCTTATCTTATGGCAATCCCGCTTATCTCGACACGTAGTAGCTGTCTAGAGGCACGTGGGGTTGGATGATGCACCAGGAGCACGAGACACGCAACGGTTATCACCGCATTTGGGGACGTAGCTACAAGCAACTGGTGCAGGGCCGCAGCAGTCGCTGCTCTTATTGCATTTGGCTAACTCTGCCTCGCATCGCTCTGTATCTCATTGAGTCAATAATAACGTAGCGCGGATTCAGTGGGGGTTTCACTGACTTTCGACTACGAAAAGATTACCGTCGTCATTATTAGAGGTAGGTGGCACTGCGGCAACGAGGGTGGCGAAGGCTAGAAGAGCGATCTTTAGAGTCGAAGGCATCTTAATAGTGTTAAGGGGGGCAGTATTGAATGATTGCTTGCAGGATAGTAAAGAAGCACGATAACAAGGTAACACATAAGGATTGTACACGAACGTATTTATTGAGGTATATGTAGTTGACTGAGATTTGTTTGACCGGAGTGCTCGGTAACTCTCAATTAATTACTTTAATCCTATTGTCAAGTGAAGTGGGTTATCGAGCAACCTAAGCCACCAAACCAAGGCTGACTTTAACTTCGGTGTTACCGAATTCTTGAGTTCAAGCTGGAATAGGTCGTCTGAAAACTTCTTATATTAAAGCAATTCATTCATCTCCCCAAGCCCACTACTTAAGCTTATCCCGTCGGTCGGGGGCCAACGTCCGTACAAATCAGTACAAACTCCTCCAATTTTTCTCCAGCTCGGAGACAATCCTCGATTTTTAGTTTGCGGGAACAAGGAATATCAAGTCGGATTATCTTATAATTGGCTTAATTCCCTCACGGAGATACGTACCTTTGTACTGACGTCGACCCACGGCCGGTGGGATACGGGACGACCGGAGACTTAACCATTAGCTTAATGTTGTACGTAGCCATATATAGGACGCTATGCCGATAATCTTGTGCCGTGCGTCTAAGTCTATCCGTGGTGCCCTGACTGGAGCCGGAGCAGCGATACGTCTAGGTAGAAGCTCACCTGCCCAGGTACTTTCCACGTCTATGGTGCCGTGCTCCCCTCCGCCCCCCGTACAGTCTGCTGCCATCGTCGACTACACTAGTAGCAGCGCAGCCAGATCAACAACGCTATAGAGTATGTCCAACAGCTAGTCCGTAGTGACCCTTGCGCGCCAATACAGAACGCGGTCGCCTACCAAGTCAACTACGCCGTTAGCAGGTAAGTATATTATAGTTATACATCTGCATATCGAGGATCCTATGCATCGGCGTTAGCTCAGCCTTAGGGGCTCCGGACGTACGGGTAATAAACCTCTGCTCCATACCCAGGACATAACCAAAAAAACTCCGTACATCGTCGGCATCGAATACGACCAGAATAATGCCGTCTCTCGACACATGCCTTATACACAACAAGCATACGTGCAGCTTAGATAATGGCTGAGTACTTTGCCGTGTAGTCCGGAATATCCCCCTAGCCAGCGCGAATAAATCTATTTTTCTTTTTCACATCTCACTATTCTTTAATGATTGCCTGAAGCTT